TAGCTTTAATCAGGTCACACTTTGACATTTATCCTGAAGTGAAGGGGTTTTGCTGTCATGTCTTTATAATTTTAATTTTGCATTTTATTTTTGACATTTTGATAGTGACCAATTATTGTGATTTCCATTGGAAAAATGATTAAATTTCTAAAGTCATAAAACAAATGTTTGGGAGTACTGATTTTAAAAAGACCATAAGCTAATTCACATCACTTTCGTCTGTAATGGTTCTTAAACATTTAACTTAGTCAGAATTCATTCTAATTGAAGGTTCTGTGATTATGAAAAATGAAGAGAATGACAGAATTTAATTATTTTTTTGCAGAATGCCTTCGTATTTTGACTTTGAACAAAAGCATCAATAAATTTGTATGAACTCTGTGGAAAGGAAAAGAGATAATATATCATTTGGCTTAAAAAGTCTGAAATTGTTTAGTTTTCAAAAATCTCATGCATAATCATTCAAATAGAAAATGGAGTAATGGATGATTATATAACTCGCGTATATTTAAACAGGGAAATTTTACCATCTTTTTTCCATTTTTCTCATGATTTTAAACCTGAAAACATTGCCTTTGTTCACTTTTGATTACTTGTGATAACAGAAATAAAGTGAAGAGAGATGTATATTTTAGATCAGATGATAAAATATAAACCCAAGACTATATCCAGTTTCTACTGGTTAAATATTGGAAATTATTGAAAAGGTCATGGGAGATAAGTTTTATAAGTCCTCAAGAGTATATAACCCAATGCCCTCCCCCAGTGCTGCCTCTAGCTATATACATGTGCATTCTCACAGATGCTTACCCATGTTTCATAATGACAGAAACACTGGATGTGCCATAGCTGCCATAGCTGTTATATTTCAGTGCTAAAATATCCATAGGATCTTTCCATAGGAATTTTAACCTCTTCTGCAATTTAAAGTCAGTACATTCAGTTGTGTCAATTTTAACATCTGATTTTTCTATTTCCAGTATTTTCTTGCGTAGTATTCTGGAATGCTAAAATGCAATTACATATCTAGAGAGTATAGTATGTCCTTTAACTCCACATAGGAAGCAGTAGATACTTCAGTAAAATGTCTACCCTCACAAAGCTATACTTCCACTGTCTTGATCTGAAACCCCTCTTAGCTGGGAAGAGTGGAATGAAGTCAGGAGAAGAAAGAGGTACCTATGGGTTACAGCTGGTCTGGCACAACTTATCAGCTGTACTAAAAGCAGCAAAGTTTTGGGAATTTTTATTACCTATTCCTAAAGGTGACTCTCAAAGGTCTTGTTTGAAGACCTCAGTGTTCAGGAGACATTTTTGAATTAGTTTCTTCAATACCAAGTTCTTTCTTTCAGGGAGAGTGTGATATTTGTGTCCAACATGGTTTAGTTTTTTATTAGCTAGTTCATATAAGTTTTTGAAAAACTGGTTCAAAGCTGGCTGAACATGAGCCAGCAGTGTGGCCAGGTGGAAGAAGGCAAACGGCATCCTGGCCTGTATCAGAAAGTGTGGCCAGCAGGACCAGAGCAGGGGTCATCCCCCTGCACTCACCACTGGTGAGGCCCCATCTCAACACCTGTGTTCAGTTCTGGGCCCCTCACTAAAAGAAAAACATTGAGATGCTGGAGAGTGTCCAGAGAAGGGCAATGAAGCTGATGAAGAGTGGCTGAGGGAGCTGGGCTTGTTAAGCATGGAGAAAAGGAGGCTAAGAGGGTATTTTATCGCTTTCTACAACAACCTGAAAGGAGATTGTAGTGAGGTGCGGCCTCTTCTCCCAGATAACAAGACAGGATGACAGGATATGGCCTCAAGTTGCACCAGGGCAGGTTTAGATTAGATATTAGGAAGTTAATTTCTTCATGGAAAGGATGATCAAGCAGTAGAACAGCTTGCCCAAGGAAGTGATGGAGTCAAGATCCCTGGAAGTGTTCAGAACATGTGTGGATTTGATATTTGAGTATGTCGTCGTGTCATGGCTAGGCTTCGCGAACGAAGATTTGGGAAGGGTTCTACCCACGTTTGTTGCAAGCGCGTTGGTGGCTAAAAAGGCCAATATGAGACAGGCAAGTCCGGTTGCAAAAGACACAGCAGAAAGACTCCTTGGGTGGTATATTCTGTAAGGCTTGATTCTTTCTGCGTTGTCTTTTCTCCTCAAGAGTGATCCTGTGTGCGTTCTCAAAAGCATCAGCAGCTTTATAGATGGTGTGTCTCCAGACCTCCCGACCAGTTATGGTGATCAATATGCCCAAGGCTGAGATGTTGTTTCAGGGAGTCCTTGTACTTTCTCTTCGGGGCTCCTCTCTTGCGGCAGCCGGTGGCAAGTTCACCATAAAGCAGGATCTTAGGGAGGCAGTGATCTCTCATCCTTGAGACGTGCCCTGCCCATCGCAGCTGCGTTCTCAGCAACATGGCCTCAATACTTGTGACTGCTGCTTGTTCTAGAACAGATGTATTGGTCACATAATCTGACCAGTGGATGTTTAGGATTGTATATTTGAGTATATGGTGGTGGTAAACATGGTGGTGCTAGGTTAATGATTGGATTTGATGATCCTAGAGGTCTTTTCCCCCTTCTTAACAGGACGGGGAGAAAATTAGATAAGAAAGTTTATGGGTCAAGCTAAGGTCCAGGAGATCACTTACCGAGAATTGTCGTGGGCAAAACAAATTCAATTTACAGAAACTTAATTTAATTTATTGCCAATTAATAATAGAGTAGATTAATAAGAAACAAAAACAAGGTAGAAAACACTTTCCTCTCATCCTGCACCCCACTCCTCCACCTTTCCAGTCTTAACTTCACTTCTTTGATGCCCAACTTACCTGCATTCAGTGTTATGTCTAAATGTTGCTGTGTGTTTTGACATTTCTTGTGTTTTCATCATAAAGATAAATAAACTGTCTAGGAATGATTTCTGTCAATAGAACATTTCTTTTGTCATTCTTACGCAATGGGTTGAGCAATCCTAGTAGTTCTTTCTTCCTGCTTTCTTGTATCATCAGCTATTTTCATTTCTTCAAAAAATAATTTGACCTCTTTATTAATAGAAGATAGCATTTGAATTTCAAAATATTTCACTCTGTCTCTGGTAGGTGCAAAAATAAAAGCAGTACAATCAGATTTACACATGATTATGAGTTTCCATCAAGAAGAAAATGTTTAAGTTTTTCCATGTCTGGAGTCTGGAGTGTTCTTATTTCAGGAAAATAATGGAAATCTAAAGTTTTTATTCCATAGCAATTGTTAAAAAAAATTCCAAGGCAAATTTTCCACCCACACATCCTAATCTTCTCACTTATGCAATGGGGGGTGAGGAGGGTACTGGGGTATTATTTGGTGGGGGTTTTTTGTGATACAAACATAACAGGTCCTACAGAACAACAGAAAACCAAGAAAATTGCATAAACCAGGCTCAGAAGCCCGAGAGCTGAATTTGTAGAAAATTTTCCTAATCTGTCCCCTCTCTCAAACTAATTATTTCAAGGGTAGAATATTTTCAGGTACATCCCATTGTGACCTGTATTACCGAAAAAAAAAAACCAAACCAGCAAAAAAACCCAAAAGAATTGCATATAAAAGTGAGGAGTTGGTTTTGTTTCTTTTTCTTTTTTTTTTTTTCTCCCCACAAAAGAAGCTGACTGAAAATGATCTGCTAGGGAGATAATACAGAACTGTTGCAAATCTCATGCCAAAATTACTGCTTTGGCAAATGGGCAACCCAACGTCCTCGCTAGGGAAGCAACTGTGTTTGGTGGAGATAGTACTCTCTGGAGTGCTGGCTGCTCATTGCTGCCTTCCTAGGCTCCTTCAGCAAATTGCATAAATTCCTTATGTTGCAGTTTCATTTTGCAGTTCAGCTATTGGTCCATCTGCCTTGTCTGTGACAAACATGTACAGTATAATATCATATAAATAATATATATATAAAATATAAAATGATTGAATTAACTCACATGTTTGTAAACCACATAGCAAGTTAGTTGAGTGAGAATTGGATGAAATATTATATTTCTTCATGAAGTTTGTATCTACTTGCAATATCTGATCTTTCTGATAATTGCAGTGTTATTATTATATGTTATTATTATTATTTATATTATATCCTAAGAAAATTTTAACTCATATTTTTTCATTCTTTTTTATTTGGTGGTTTTTGTTCACAGAATAATCTCTGTCAGATCAAAATGTGATTTTTGTAGACATGCAAGGTTGTCTTTTTCAACCATTGTGGAAGATCTTGGAAAAGGCATTTCTATGTGGCAATTTTGTTCTTTTGGTTTGTTTTTCTGAAAAGCTTATGGGGGACATGTTGATCAGAAGGGTTCATAGTATTTTATCAGATTAATTTTGAAATAGCACAGTTATTACTAGTCTTTGACATCAGTGCAGTTCTGGGTTATATAATCTGTGGTCCTTTCAGGTATATTCTGCTCCTGAAACACACACAGTTCAGAAATTTTGTTAACTCCTCAACCGTCAGTGTCTAAGTGTCCTGTTAAATTAATGGAAAGTTCATATTTTAATTCAATATGGCAACACCATACCATTCTAAAAATCCCCTTTCTTACTGCAGAGTTGGAGACACTGACGGAGAAAGCTGTGGAGGTGGTGAATTCCACCACCAGCAGACACAAGTAGTTAATCCTACTATTGAAGAGAATTTTTTCTTTGTCTCCATTCTGGGTTTAATGCTTTGTCAGCTTCACTTTCAGATCCTTTAGTAAATGTCTCTCTAATCTACTGTAGGCAACACAGTTGCCTGCTCCCCTTGAGTGCCAGTGAGTGCACACTATTTTTTGGTGTTATTAGGAGGTTTCAGTAGCCTCCAACCCTGTTTATCTCAGCAGGTACACTTATGGCTCTGACAATCTTTTCCATTCTTTTTGGATAAGAGCTAAATATCATTCTAAAATATCTCAAGGCATTTCACTGAAAACATCACCATTTCAAAAAGCTCAGTACAACCGACAAGACTAAATATATTTTCCTCTTTGTTTTCTAGTAAGTGAGCAGTGGAGCTGGAAAACTTGGCAGAACTCTTTGTCTTTCCTGCTTGTATCTGTGGAAACTGGTTTGCAAGGTAAATGTTCCATTTTAATTGACTATAATTGTATACTATTATAGTTTCAGGTGTCTAAAATGACCTCATGATACCTCTAGGTTTTGAAGAAAATACCCATGCTTAAGCTTTCATCTACACTTTTAGCAATGAATTGTATTAGAATACTCTTACAACTTAAAATAAATGCAATTAGTTCCTTTGGATCCATTAACAAATACACCTCCCTCTCAAGAAGAAAGTAAATGTATGCCAAGATCTAGGTTATTTATGAGTTTCTGGGCTATTGCTCCAAAATTGCCGTCAATCTGAGTGAAAGAACAATTAAGATGAATGTGAATGCATTTATTATGTCAAGATGTAGTCTCTGTATTCTGTTATGTATTGGTTGTGTTTATTGATGGTTTTATTAGAAGGAAGACTAAAGGTGGTTCTTGAGACCCCGGCTATATTTGCAGTCTTGCTGTACAGTTTTTAAAATGAGAGATTCTTATTTTTGCTCTTAAACATGGGTTTTAATAATGATATTGGAAAGGTAAACATGTTGTATATTTGGACAATTTAGTTTTCTAGAGTTTAAAAATCCATCAGGGAAACTGGCTTGTTTTGAGAATTAATCACGTTACCACGGAAGGCTGCTGGTTCTGTCAGGAGAATTATGTCCCTTAATACCTTCCTCAGCTTTGGTTAAGGGTCTAGGTTCAATATTACTCTTTCCTTTGACCTTTTCCTTGTCACATCCCTTAATTTTATCTTTGAAGTTGTCTTAGTTTTCTGGAGGAAAGAATATTTGTCTCTAGTCATTCTTCCATTGAAAATGGCTCTTTTAGTCATGGTGAAAAAAAGAGTTTTCAAAAACTCTCCTCTTATATGTTGTAAAGAATTGAACTAGAAGCTATGCAAAAGCTGCTCCAAATTCATGCTTTTAAATGGAGTGCTGAGCAGAAGAATTACCCCCTCTTGACAGAAGTGCCACTATTAGCTGTATGTTCAAAGTGGAAAATTGGCCCCTTTGAAATATAAAATCAGCATCCTTCCTGGCACCTAAAATGGAGGAGTGAATGTTCTACTCTTCAGCATTTGTTTAACGAGCTGAACTCCAAGGATGTGCATTTTAACATATTGTATTTCTTAAGCAGGGTGAGGGAAAAAAAAAGAATCAGCTTTTACTGTGAGTGAAACCATGCTATGAGATGGTGAGTGGTGATTGTAAAAAAAAAAAAAAAAAGTAGCAGCATTTCTTTCAGGGCTCCTTCTGAGGATGGAAGCCATTTGGAAATACAGAAAAAGGGTGACTGGTGTTAGGATCTGCCTTTAAGGTGAGGGGCTAATAGATCCTTGGGGCAGATTAGAGTGAAACAACACTGAATGATCAGTGTTTATAGGGGAATATATATATATATATGTGTGTGTGTGTATATATATATATATATAAAATGTCCTGATACCTCCCCAGGGGGGAGGTATTACAACTGAGTGTAAAGGAGGACATTCCCATGATAAAAAGCACTATCCTGCCTCCACAGGGTCTGCTTCTTATCGGCCTTCTCCCTTATCTCTCTCAAAACCCAGCTTGTAACCTCCTGTGGTGGGTGCTCACCCCTTCTCTCTTAGGAGGATCAGAGGTTTTGTCACCACACACCCAAATCCTCCTCCTTCCCTCTGGCTGAGGGATGCAAACCTGGCCCCAGCAAAGCACCCTGCTGCCTTTGCAAATGGCCCGTTGTTTGAGTCATTAATCAGTCTCTCATAGCTGGTCAGTCTTGCCACTTCTTTTTTAACTACTAGAAATGGCAGGATATTTCCAGTTGTGAGGAAGACCCCAATTGCAATTATTTTCCATGCAGATGCTTAGGCATTGAACAATCAGACTTGCCAGAAAAGTGTGGGTGGTGTTGCATTTCAAAGTGGTGCTGGTGCAACTCCCCAGACTTCATGTTGTGTTACATAGGTCTCTTCTATTTGGGTTTGCAAATCCAGCAGAAGTGGGGAATCAGAAGTCTGATGGCTAAAGCCACAATTTTACAAGAACTTAATCACAGTTTTCATGATTATGTTGCATTGTGTTTAATGAAAAGTTAGGCATGTACTTAAACACTTGCAGAATTGGAATATATTTGGCTCAATGGCAGCTAAAGAAGTGAGAGTAAAAATGATGAGTAAAATTTCCAAAGCATCTGTGTGTGACATAGCAGCAGGCATGAGCTGGTTTTTCTGTGTCATGTATGATAATTTGGTATCTTAAGCAAGATAGAAATGACAAAAAATTATTATAATGTTTTAAAATACCATTGACAAAGAATATTTAATTTTATTCCAAAATACTCTTATGATGATTTTTTATCCACAATAACCACCTCTGACCTAGTGGACTTCCTTTGGCTGTATGCGTAATTAAATCTGAAGATGCCAGTGATTCTAATCAGTTGTGTGCAATTTTTGACATTGACATTTCAATAGCAAAACATCAATATTGAGTTTGGAGTTAGCAATACATTACTGCCAGTGAGAATAGATTAATCTGTCTTTATGATGATGATGTTCTATGGGGTAATGAGATGTTTTTAATCAGCCAAAAGGGTAGGCTTAGATTTGTAATTTGAACATTCTATTTTTAAAAAGCTTTGGAGAATTATTGTGAAGTAAATTGTCTTTTATTCTGTCTTTTGTTTTCCTCCTTCTGAAAAGATTCATTACTGCCTATTTAACTTGTTTTCCTAGTGTTAACCAATACTGCTGTAAGAACTGATTTTCACCCTCAGTTTCAGCCTGCCAGGGTGTCAGGTAAATTTTGTATTACCAGATATAACCAAACATTGTATGAGTGCAGTGCTTGTCTAGAAATAATTAACTATTACTCCAAAGTCTTCTATATTCACTTATATTTCTGATACTTAAGGATCTCTATTTCTTGAGTAACTTCCCTGAATGTGATATATTGAATTTGTATATTGAGGAAAAAGTGCATCTCTTAAACAGTCCTAGAGGAGAAAACAAAAAAAAATTCTGGATGATTGTAATTTTCTTCTACTCTTTATTCTATGAATCTAGATTTTTAAAAGTACTTATCCAGGGGTGTGGTAGTCTAAGTAGCTAAGGTTTCTCATATGTCTGAGGGTACCAGGTCTGCTTGACTAAAAATAAGTCAAAACTATCATAACTGCTGTGGTTTTGAGACAGGGAGCTACTGTTCTCCATTCTGAAATGGAAAATTTGAATAGTTGTGTTGAAATTACTATAAGTACATACAATATGATATGTAAATAAAAACCCCTCGGGTTTAAAGCATCTAAATTTTAATCCATATGCTTGAATAATCTCTGACATTTCAATCTAGTACCTCCAAAAGTAACTGGTGACTTCAAACAGTCAGATTATACAGCCTTAAGGGATCTGATTTTCACTAAATTCTGACCATTCATTTTATGAAATTCAGGCTTTTTCTAAATTCAAAATGCATACCCATAAAGTCACTTAGAGAGATCTTTGCTTACACTGGATCTGCAAGACTTGCTGATTCTTGAAACTGCCAGAATAAATTAAAACAATCCATTTCATCTTTTTGGGGTGTTTTCTTGAGCTGTTATGTATACAGTCATCTGCATATATTTCTCTGAGTTGTAATTGGAGTTATATGTTAATTGCAATAGGACTTTAAGTAAGTGTTAGGATTTATTTGAGTCCTTAAGTTTGCTGAATATGAGTGTTGATTTTCTAGATGAAATTCAAAAATAAATTCTGGAGTATTGACTTGAGGGATATACACTCCAATAGAATCAAAAAATGTTTAAAACTGATGTACAGCAAATAAGACCTTTTTCTGGAGAGATGTGCAGTTCATTCAATGAAGACACTCCAGTTTCTTCCCTGATCTCTCCAAACATTAAGTCTGCATGTCTACATTTATAGGGGGCTAGAATTGTTGTTTAGAAAATAGAAACTTAATCTCAGTATTCTTTGTTTTAGAAAAGTAAGAATGTCAAGCAGAGCTGAACAAAAATCTTAGAGAAACAATCTGCTAGAAAAAGGAAAGCTACAATCCACAAGTAAAATGGTGTTTTCTTTATGGGTGGAAATGTTGCAAGGCTTTGTCATACAACTACTCTGAAGTCACTTCCTATGTTTTGCAGAAAATAAAGAAGCCATAAGAAAAGCTAGATCTGTTGTTTCCTTCTAGTATCAATGCTTCCATTTTCTGTCTTAAGCAATACACCATTTTGAATTGTGTATCTTCCTTGAAACAATGAATTCAGTCCTTCCTTGACTTTCCTTCATGCCTCACTCACAGTTCTCCTGTGCAGCTTTAAATCTTTCCAGTTTGCATTTTCATCATTGCAGCCCAATCTTTGGTATGGAATTTTAAAATGAGAGCTCATCATAGTAAAGTACTGTGCTGCATTTCATTAATCAGAAAGTATATGAGCAGGAAAAAAAGCAATAACTTTGTATACTATTACTGTCAATACAAGGGTGACACTTGAGGTACAGCAGTAATAAGAGGTAAAAGGAGACTTTAGGAAGATAATATATGTAACTGTTTAAAACTGAACTGAGTGGGTTGGTTTATCTTGATGTTGAAAGAAGAATTTTCATGGCTAAAACTGGTTTTCCGTTTCTGACTGGCAAATACCAAACCAAACCAGATCAAATCATAAATGATAATCTTTAAGGTACCTTCCACCCCAGGCTGTTCTATGATTCTATGATAAAAAATATGTTATATAACAGCAACCTGCTGATACACAGATTTTTAATAACTATATAGCTGATCATATTTTTACACTTTGAATTCTTTTACATTTATTTTTAATGTAGCTGTGATTTCTGGTGTATTTTGTCAGTACCAGTAGAAATTGTATAGAAGCTTGCAACATGAACATTGTCTCATTCTTGAAAAACAAGTTTCAGAGCTTTATTTCATCCTTGTTTACTGCATCAGTATGAAATAAATCATCCCTAGACTAGAAGATCATTCCCAGACTTACTGTATATTTAAGTCTAATCGTGAAGGCCACTGCCTT